ATTTACAGCTCAAAGAAGGTGGGGGCGGAAGTGTGGCGGAGAGAGCAGCCTTATAGTCAAAGAGACCTGCGTTTGAATTCCAACCCCACGACCTCAGGCAAGTTCCTTCACCTCTGCAAGCCTCAGCATCTAGAAAGTGGTCGTGCGTCCAACATTTACTGTTTGCTTAGGATAGTAAGCAAGACAGACAGTGTCTTTTTCTTCATGGAGCCTCCAACTTAGAGAAATTCATAAAACAAGCAAAAAAACAAGCAGAGGAAGAGAAATTGGGATATGAATGGTGGAAGAAACAATACAGGGGCTGGGATCCAGAGTAACAAGGCTGCTGGGGGCAGCTCTAGACAGAGCGGTTAGGGGGAGCTGGAAACGAAGACAGGGAGCAGCCACATAAAGAGACAGGAAAAGCAAACAGAGAGAGCAGCATGTGCAACAGCCCGGGGGCAGCACATTCCAGGAACCCAGGCTGGATCTGGTGAGTGAGGGGCTGACAGACAAGGCTGGACACACTGCCACAGGAAGGTTTCAATATAACTACTACAGGTGCTATTCTGATCCTCATTTGACATACGGAGAAACTGAGGCTTAGAGCAGTCCAGCAATGTGCCTGAGATCACCATGCTAGTAAATGATGGAGCAAGGGTTTGAACTCGGGGATTCTGGCTCCAAAGTTGGGGGGCTATAGTCTTGCCCTTTGGGATGGGGTCATTTACAGGGCTGGGATGGGTGGGCCAGGGGAACTCCCTCAGGGAGGCCCAGGAGAAGCCCAGATCAGGAGGGATGAGGGTCTTCACAGCACTGAGATGTGGCCCAGAAGGCATGTGGTTCTAATGGCCCCATGCGCACACAGGCTTGGGACTAAAAGGCAAGCACAAATGCCTAGGCCATTCCAGGGTCTCCTGAGCACCGTGGGGAGTTTTCCAAAAGGGCCGATGAATCCAGGGCAGCAGAAGGGGACTTCTCTGCACAGGCCTGGGAAAGGCCCTGTGTCATTCAGTACATGCTTGTTGAGCCTTTACCTTGTATCCGGTGAACACTTGCCACTGTGCTGCATGGTGTGGGCTGGTAGACACAGTCCCTGCTCGCAACATCAAGGCCAGACATGTACAGAACACACAGAACGTGCCAGGCCTTGAACTAAACACTTGCCCTAAGTTATCTCATTTGTTCCTCAGAATTCTCTGAGGCAGGGATTAATATTAGTCCTATTTCACAGGAAAAGAAACTGAGGCACAGAGAGCTTGAGCAACTTGCCCAGGGTCCTGTAGCTAAGTGATGGAGTCGGCCTTGAAACCCAGGCAGGCAGCACAGCCTCCTGGATCTAGGTTAAAATAACAACTAAACTTACCATGTTGCAGGCTCTCTACACACACGTGCTCGTTTCCCAGGAGCACGGTGTTAAGCCCTCTCCTCTGGAGCAGGCTACCTGGATTCACACCCAGGCTCTACTGATTGCCAGCTGCGTGACTTGGACAAATAGTTAACCTCATCTGTAAATGGGGATAAAGATCAACTCTAGTTTACAGGGTTGTTGTGAGGATGAAAAATTAATAAAGTTCTGATGCACAGAACACACCGTAAGAGCTACAGTGTGTTATTATTCTTAATTCTCAAAAACAGCTCTATAATGATTGTTATACCCACTTAACAGGTGAGGCACTGTGGCTGGAAGAGGGCCAGGCACTTGCCTGAGGACACGGAGCTGGGATTCAAACCCATGATGCCTTGAATCGGGCACCAGAATCTAAAGCACATGCTCTTAACTTGGAGCCTTCCTGCTGGGGGGGAGGGGAAGATGGTAATCCACCTAGCCCCCTCCTCAATAGACTTCTCCCCAGAACAGCCCCAGCCCCCGTGCATCTAAGCTGAGATAAAACAAGAAGCCGAAGAATTCTTCCAATCCCCTTCCCCAGTGCGAGCCTTCAGAAGCCTCCCAAAGGCTGTGTGTGCATTGGGGCGAGCCAGTCTGGGAAGACGGGACAGTCTTCCAAAGGCCCTAACTGTAAACAGGACCCTGGCACCCCACACCCTACACTGCTTCCCCTCAGCTGAGCGGGCTGGCAGGCCCCAGTCAGCTGCCTCCACAAATACGTAAACACACAAATTGTGTGGCGAGCTGGCAAAGCCACAGAAGGAAAGGCAGATACCAAGACCAGAGGAGGAGATGGGGGCACAGCTCCAGACCCCTCCAGGGCGCAGAGAGCAGCTGGGCTTCTAGCAGTGGACACCTGCAGACACAGTGGGTCCCCAAGGTCCAGTGACTGCACAGGGATGAAGAAAGGGGCCTGCCAAGGAGATGGCTGGTATGTTACAGCAACCTAGGAGTCTGTGAGAGGGGGCAAGTGGGAGTCGGAGGTGGGCCAGGGGACAAAGGCCATCACTCACTATGCAGGGGCAGTGGGCTGGACCTACAGATATCTGGGAGAGACCAGGGGATGGATTGAGTCCCCACACTGTTCTGGGACTAGACTTTACTCTTGGCAGTTGGGGGGATGTCACACACCCCTCCCTGTCACCACCCCCGCCGCGGCCAGGCCAGGAGAGGCACCCCACATGTGGGAAACCATTAGGCCAGAGTCATGAGCATTCCCCGGCGTTGGCAGCCTCTGCTCCAGCCAGAAGGGCAGCTGTGGGGAGGGGATAGGGAGATGCAAACCACGGGGGAAGCAGGAGAGCCAGCTGACAGGGCGTGGAACCAAGAGCCCCATATTTGACAGAGCTCCGGACCTCGCCATCCAGGGCCAACACCCCACTGCCCACGTGGTTCTCATCAAGCTCATTAGCAGCAAAACAGCAACAAGCAAACAGCGCTGGGCCCAGCTAATTAGCACATAGGCCTTAAGTGGGCGAGCCAGCTTCGTGTGGGAAAGGCTAACGCCCAGTGGCAATTCCTCCAGGAGCGCTGCCAGCCCGTGTGCCAGGGCCACAGGTATGACCAGGGGAGCAGCGGAGGGCCGGGGAGAGAAACAATGGGGCTGAGGCCCCCCGGGGTGGAGTGGATACCGACAGCAGGCTGGAGCGGCACCCCCGGATCAGGGCACGGGGGTGCACACACACGTCAGTTCTGACAGTCTGCAGACTCACCCAACCTCGAGTTTCCAGTGTTGAAACTCCAGATTGGCAGAGAAGGACGCTGGAAAGTCATGAGAAAGTTAGGAAACTGAGAACCTTCAGGGCTGAAGGGCCAGAGCGAGGCCCATGCCCACCCGCCCTGAAGCCACCCTCCCCAACTTCAACTCAAACCTCAGCAACACTCTCTGCTAAGCTCAATAGAACTTAGGGGCTCTCCTCTTCAGCTCCAGCCCCACATCCCACCCCAGGCCTCAGCTCCAGGACTCGGAGTACTACTGTCTCCTCGGGCACATTTCCTAACCAAACTAAGCCTCAGTTTCCTCGACTGTAAGTAGGATAGATGATCAGTAAACACTCATGTTATAGGATTGGGAGACAACTAAGATGATGTATGTGAAGAGCTTAGCACAGTGTTGGGCATATAGTAAATCCTCGGCTGTTAGCTAGTGGAAGTAGTAGTCATTGTTATAATAGTAATGGTGGTAGTAGCGGCGGCAGCAGCAGCTGTAGCAGTAGTGATGGTAGTAGAGGTAACAGTAGCAGTAGTAATGGTAGAGGTGATGGTGGTAGTAGTAATAGGAGGTAGAGGAGGAGTAAAAAAGGAAACAGTAGTACACGGCCATCCCCAGTTCACAAATGCAGAAAGTGAGGTCCAGGAAGATGAGGTAAGATATCTGGCAGCAGAGTGTGGAGATTAAGAAGAGGGACCCTTGGGCTTCCCTGGTGGCGCAGTGGTTGAGAGTCCGCCTGCCATTGCAGGGGACACGGGTTCGCGCCCCGGTCCGGGAAGATCCCACATGCCGCGGAGCGGCTGGGCCCGTGGGCCATGGCCGCTGAGCCTGTGTGTCTGGAGCCTGTGCTCCGCAACAGGAGAGGCCACAACAGTGAGAAGCCCATGTACTGCAAAAAAAAAAAAAAAAAGAAGAGGGACCCTAGAGTCAGGTTACCTGAGTTCATATCCTGCCATTTCTAGGCCATGTGACCTTGAGCACGTGACTTGTCTGTGCCCCAGTTTCCTCACCTGCCAAAAGGTGAGTGGCTCTCCCCGCCCCACAGGACGTGTGAAGTGAGTCTTGCACAGAGCGAGTGCTGCATAGCTACTGGCTCTCGTGTTGCTGTCACCTCCTCCGAGGGTACCATCAGTGGAGGCTAGGGCACAGAGCCCGGCTCTTCCTACCTCACTCCTTGGTCTCCACATAACTAAGATGACTACCCTCTTTTTTCTCATCTGGGCCAGCCTGCCAGGCTTTGGAGTGGTTGAAAGGAAGACTGCTCCAGACACAGGATCAAAGCCTCATCCGACCGTCCTGGTAGGATGCCCGCCAGGGGCCAGGGGCCAAAGCAGAGGTGGACTCCCCTAGCACGGCGCTGGGAGTGGTCCCCCCAGGAATGTGCGATGCAGAGGCTCTGGGGCCAGGTGTGTTCCGCAGACCACAGGGGTATGTGAGCACCACAGGGCAAGTTGGGGAGGAGCCCCAACACAGTGGAGCAGCAGGTGGGGAATACAGGAAACTTTACAAACAAGAGAGGGGATTTTATTTGAAAAGTCATCTTCAGTTCTTTTTTTTTTCGCCATGCCGTGCAGCTTGTGGGACCTTAGTTCCCCAACCAGGGATGGAACCCAGGCCCTTGGCAATGAAAGCGCCAGTCCTAACCACCAGACCACCAGGGAATGCCCTGGAGGCATTTTTCAATCTCCTCTCTTCCACTGCCTCCCCCCTGGAAAGGGGCTACCTGCTCAGGAGACAGACTGGGGAAGACACTTGTGCTCCCCGCACAGATTCTGGAGTCCCCATGCCCCGCCCAGCTCAAGGAAGAGATAGGGAGAGGGTGGATGCAGTGGAGGCACTCACGTTTGATACAGTGGTTGGTACTGTTTGCTGTTGTCCATCCTGGGCAGCACTGTCCCCCGCAGACATTCCTCCTGCGGGGTCACCAAAACAGGGTCAGCATAGGGTGCTCAGAGCGGGACTATTCACAGAGCCCTACTGACGGTCCCACCCTCTACAGGCAGGGCCTGGGGGAACTCTGCCAGGCCGGGCACTGTCCCCCTTCTCTAGGGAGGCCTCATGGCCCATGGGCGGGCACTTTGGGCTCCTTCACATCTAAGATTGAATCCTGACTCTGCCATTCTCTGCATGAGCTCGGAAAGCCTCATTCTTTTCATCTGTACAATGGAGATAATAATATCTGCTTAACGTTGTTGTGAGGATTAAATGAGATAGGATATATAGCCCCCAACACACTGGCACAGGGATCACGCAGATGATCAAAAAGCCAGTTCAGAGTGTCTCAGTCACTTTCCAAGACTAAACAATAAGTAAATGTCAGAGCCAGATTCAAACCTCAGTTGACCCAACTCTAAGTCACGCTCCAGCTCCGCATGGCCTCTCACCAAAAAATTATCACCATGGCCCTTGCCAACAAACGCTGATAATCCAAGGGAAGCTGGAAAACGTACCCAAAACAGCCTTAAGGACATACATGTGCAGCACCTGCCAACACATGCACACTGGGAGGAGCCTCAGCCCTCTGGCAGGCTGGTGCACGGTCAGACGGAGCACTGGCTGGGACAGAAGGAGCCGGAGCTCCAGAATTTCTCTTTAAGAGGAGCTGAGGAAGTGGCAAGCTGGTAGGAAGATGGGGCTGGGGACTCGGGATAAGCTGCACTGCACGGTGAGCACGCTTTTTACTGGGGTGGGTGATGGAACTTTCTCGGTGGGAGATAGCCCTTCCCCCAGCTACTCCTTAGGGCTGGCACCCAGACACCTGCAGGAGACACTGACCAGCAGTTGCCACCAGGGCCACTCACCTAACTCACCCGAACTCTGCCCTCAGGTGTGGAGTATCCTTCACCCACCCTGACTGTCGATCTAAAACCCAGATGCCCGGACGGAGGTGACTTCCCGAGAAGGGCTCTATCTGGAGAAGACCTCTGGGGCCCTGACTTCTCAGCTCAGGCTGGGCCTGGCTCTGCTTCACAGACCCCATCATTACCATCAGAAATTCTCTACTCAGCGCTCGCTGAAGCTCAGGGTGAGCGGGGCAGCAGAGGTACGGAGCCCAAGAGTGGGGTGAAGGACACACCGGGGGGCCCTTCCTGTGGCCTTCGTGGCCGGCGTGGTGAGCATCTGGTCCCACTTAGGAGTTGGTTTGACATTTGTGTGGTCCCCAAAGCTCGTGTGGTTTTTGAAACCTTACGAAACGTTCAAAATAAATTCCTCCAGCTTGAAAAAGCTGAGGCCCATTCCTGGCCCTTTGGCCCAAAGCTGTGGGGAGCTGCCTCCCAGGGAGGCCCCAGAATGCCCTCCCACCCAAGGGCTGTGCCATTTCAGCCACCTCGAAGCCCCTCTGCACCGCTGCCTATTCCCCATCAGGGCCCAAGTCACTAGGTTCTGGGGAAGGGGCTGGTCCTCACAGCCAGGGCTTCTGAGTGTGTGCCCTGGTGGGAGGGGGGACTACCCACCCACTGGTGAGTCATTACCCCCTGTGGTGGTGGCAAGGCCTCTTAGAGGCCTGAGAGGTCTTTGAGAAGGAAGCAGACAGCATGCCCTGGGAGTTTTCTAAAAACTAGGGTCTGTGGGAGTCCAGAGAGCACGGACTGAGGGGCCCACCTGGCTGAGAGGTCATGGCGTGGAGCCCAGCTCAAGGAGGCCCCCCTGAGCCTGCTGGTACCCTAGATGCCTTCAGAATGGCTACGGAGCTGACTGTAGGAAGGCAGCAGCTCGGCATGCCCGGCCTGACCACGGTAGAGCCCTCAAGGCCGTCAGGGCCACAGTAAGAACTGGTCAGAATCAAAGATGCCAAGCAGGGGGGCAGGGCTTGGCAAAGCGGGCACTCAAGAGGGATACAGGAGCCCAGCCAGAGTCTTGGGTACAGGCTCAGGGAGGTGCCCGATGGGAGATGACCATTCCGTGAGCTCTGGCTATCTGGAGAGAGCAAATGAGCCTGACTAGCTGGGGCCAAAGACTCAGTGGCTCTGAGTCTCTGGAAGATACGACTCAGAGATTATGTAAGCCCAGCCTTCCAGGCCACACCACTCAGCAAACATTAGCCCAGTATCCAACATCATTGCCCAACCCATCTGGCTAACAGCCTAGGACAGCTGCTGTTCCACCTGGAACAAATCTGGTCATACTGGTCCTTTGTTATAGACGCCTCAAGGCTCTCCACTGGCCTCTACAAAGCCAACCGGACCCCTCCTGCCTGTGGAGTCTAATTGCTCCCCTTCCCCCCTTATCTCCATGGCCACCTACAACCAAAACTATGATCCTCAGATATACGAAGTTTGTTGTCCCCCAGCTGCACTGTGTGTGGGCACGTTTTGATGCCCTTGCTTAAGCTGCTCTCTCTGCCTAGACTGCCTTCCCTCTCTCCTTTGCCGACTGAGATCCGTGGCTCGCTCCAAGACTTCCAGATCAAACGTCACCTCCTTTGTGTGAAACCTCCCCTGCCATCTACCCAGCCTTCCCCATTCTCCAGCCGCCACACCATTTAGCACTGATTATCTCAGGCTGTTGGTGTATGTCTCTGTCTTGAGTACCTTGAGGGCTCTTTCTTATTCCTCTTTGTGCCCCTAGAGTCTAACATAGTGGCTGACATGTGGCGTACTTTTAATACCTCTTTGTTTCACTTAATCCAATGTTTCCCAACACCCTTCTGGTAGGAAAGGAAGTGTGACGTTTCCATAATCACAACATGCAGCAATGCTGAATCACACAGCGAGAAAGTGATTCCCTTTTTAGTGATCGTTCTAGTGTGATTAGACCAGTGGGAAAAAATATCTGTCGGAGGTTGGGTCTTCACGCCAGGTTCTCTCTCCAGCCCTTGCCAATTGCCATTTCCAGTAGGGAGAACTACGGGGCTGAACTTCCTATGATAATTGTATTTGACTAGACTTTGAGAACATTTTGTTTTCATTTCAGTTTTCCTACAGTTTCCTCTTTATGACAAGTGGTACTATTTTCAGCTTATGATAGTGATACAAAGTGTCCTTGAAAATGGATTTATTTATGTAGAAAAATGCCAAGCACTGTTTGTAATACCAAAATATGTAACTCATCTAAGTGTCCCAAAACAGAAGGATGGATAAATAAACTGTGGTATATTCAGACAATGACATAATGATCAACAATTAAAATGAATAAACTTGAGCTGATTATATTAATGTAGTTAAATTTCAAACATCTAATGAGGATTGGAAAAGCAAATTTTAGAGGGATAATGCAGCATAGCACCACTTATCTAAGTTTAAAATATGCAAAACAATATTGTATATGTTACAGATACATGCATCTATAAAAACCTAGATTGGAATCATGGGTAAATTCAAGGTGGTGGTTAACTCTGGGGAGAGAGGGAGACAAATTTATAGACGATATTTCGACTAAAAAAATCAGAAGCAAAATAGGCCCAAATATTAAGGTTTGAAAAAGCTGGATTGTTAGTTGTATTATTTCCAATACTTTTTGTAGGTTTGTATAAAACTTCATAATATAAAATACTTTATTTTATTTTAATAAAGTATTATTTTAACAGTTTATAAATTTAAGAAAATAATAGAACAAGGAGGAAAAGATAGAGGAAAATATTATTAAGGTGGTATGCTGTGAGGCTAAGCTTAAGAAACACTGAATGCTGGGGAACAATGGCTTAAAAAGTCCCCTGTGGACTGTGAATTTCAATAGTGCAAGAATTTTCTGCTCTGGTTACACTGTGTCCCAGACACCTAGCACTGTGCCTGGCGCACACTTAAAATCTTCATTATGTGCAATAAAACCCCACTACATTGCAAGTTCCACGGAGACAGAGGCTGTCTTGGTCACTGCTGTATCCCCATGGTCCAGCAAAGTGCCGGGCATATAGGAGACCTTCCAAACGTTTGTTGAATGAAGAATCCCCAGTAGTGGTGATGCAATTCCAAGCTTTACCAGCAGGTGGCACTTAGTCCTTGGCCCTGAGCAATTCACAAGGCAACTGCCAGAGAGGCCAGCCTGGCCAGAAGCCAGGAGCTAGAATGGACTTGGGGAGAGGAAGCCGATGGACAAGATTGCCACTCAGCCCCTCCCCAGATGACTGGGAGTGGCTAGCTGCAGTGCCAGAGGAACCCACCCTTTATCAAAGCTGCAGAAAATAATCTGGGGGAGGAGCCACCCCAGCATGTGATGTGATGTGTGCACCTGTATATGGCAAGTGATTGTGGGTGGCAGCCAGCCCAGGTCCTTACACACCTGTGTACATCTACCAGCCTTATCAGGGTGACAATCTGCTTTGCTCATCACCACCTCATTTCACAACTGCGAAGAGTGCACCCTCCCACCCCCACTCCACTATCCCATCTTCCCCCAACTCCCACCCGAACGCCGACAGTATAAGCTCCTCCGTGATCCGGCTCAACCTATGCCTCCAGCCTCAGCCCTGTGGCTCCCCTACACCAGGGTGCAGTCCTGCCCCGAGGCCAGTGCCAACAGTGGAAAGCCCTTGTCTTTGGGCAGTGCTACAACTCGGGACCTCACTCCTGCCACTTCCCCTCTGCTTCCCCACATGCTGCCCATCGAACCCCAGGGCCTCCTTCTCCTCCAGGCTCGTCAGCCACAGCCGTCCATTCCTTTATGCTTAACATGAAGCTTCTGCTACTAGAAAGCATGTTCACCAGTGCCTATCTGTCCATTTCTCCAATTCGATTTGAAGTAATTGAGTTGCCCTCCTGACAGGAACAATGTCTTTGTCTCGGGGCCCAATCCCCTATCCCAGGCCCTGCACACTTGCTCTTAAGAAGTATGTATTCACTTGCACAGGCCATTACCACCCTCTGACTGATCCTCTGTGTAAGCGACTTGGCAGTGCTCGGGTCTACTCTGTCTGCCTTAAGCTGGGCCTTCCAAGGGCAGCGGGGAATTCATTCACTCACTCAACAGATACTTAACAAGCAGCAACTATATACGAGCACTGTTCTAGGCACCGGTGACACAGCAATGCACAAAACAAAGCCTCTCTTTTTATAGAGCTTACATTAGCGTGGGCTGGGAGACCAGACCATAAACGCAGAAACAGAAACATAATATGTCCAATGGGAATAAGTGCTATGAAGAAACGTAGAGCAGGGTGAAGGAAGAGAGAGGGTGGGGCAGGAGTAGTCAGGAAGGTCTCTCTAAGCAGAGAAATACAGGAGAAGAGTGCTGCAGTCTAGGAAAATAGTGAGTGGAGAGGCAGGAAGAACATCCTCGGGAGTAGAACAGGGGTTGCAGTGTCCTTCACGCTATGAGCCAGGGGACTGAACCCAACTGGCAAATAGGGCCCAAGCCGAGAAGGGCTGCCAGCTTCCTTCCCAGCCTCCCCGATGGTGTCCCCACGCATCCCCACACTGCCCGGGCCTCCAGTGCCCTCCATTCTGGAGATACCTGTCATACTCAGGCAAGACTGAGCCTCCCGCAGCCATGAGGATCTTCAGAGGGGCCGAGGGTTACTGGGGAACCTCTCCCACGCTGCGAGGGAGCCCCCAGCAAGCAGCTGGTCGTCTCAGGGTAGGGGGGAGACAGCCCTGCAAAGTGCGCGAGTCGCGCTGACACCTAGCTGCATAGGGGCACACACAGACCCACTCCCCCACGGACCCACAGTGCCACAGCCACATCGCGAGCAGGCTTCCTGCCCAAAGTGCCCCCGATCCCATGCCCACTTCCACGTCCAGCCATCCGCGGGCCCAGGCCGACCTCTGCCGCAACCCACAGACTCGTTCCCCCGCGCAGGCTTTGCTGCCAGCCTCCTTCCTGGAGATGCATCTACCCTCGCGCTCTGGAGCCCCCGACGTCCTCCACCTACCCGCGCTCTAAGCCCGCTCAGCTTCCCCTGGGCCTCAAGCGCGTGGAACGTCCACCCCGCTGCCCTCTCCCCGATCCCTTTCAGATCCTCGCACCGCTACGGGCGTCAGCAGGCACCGGTTGGAGGCGGGAGGGAGGAGAGCGGGCGAATGCCCTGGCGCCTTGGGAAAGGATTAACGTCGGGTCTGGGCGAGCTGGTACGAAAGGGTGTGGATGATGTTTCTCTTTCCTCTCAACTCTTTGAGAGTGGGTCAGATGGAGCCCCAGCTCCGGGACCTCGGTCTGTTCCTCCGCAGTACTGAGGACAGAGGGACGAAAGACAGAGCCCGGCGCCCTGTCCTCTAGCCAGCACATCCCTCCACGAACGAGCGTACGGGAGATCGCCCTCGCTCCCCCAGCCCCCATGCTTCCCTCTCCAGTGCTCACCCCG